GTATGCACTGTGCCCTGTGGGTGAGAGCGGGCACAGCAGTCCTGCGGGCCCCGGGCTGTGCACTCTGGTCTGTGGGTGAGAGCGGGCACAGCAGTCCTGCGGGGCCCCGGGCTGTGCTCTCTCTGGCCTGTGGGTGAGAGTGGGCACAGCAGTCCTGCGGGGGCCTGGGCTGTGCACTCTGGCCTGTGGGTGAGAGCGCGCACAGCAGTCCTGCGGGGCCCAGGCTGTGCACTCTGGCCTGTGGGTGAGAGCGGGCACAGCAGTCCTGAGGGCCCCGGGCTGTGCACTCTCTGGCCTGTGGGTGAGAGCGGGCACAGCAGTCCTGTGGGGCCCTGGGCTGTGCATTCCCTGGTCTGTGGGTGAGAGCGGGCACAGCAGTCCTGCGGGCCCCGGGCTGTGCACTCTCTGGCCCCTGCAGGTGAGAGGTGCACCTGCCCTTGCGGCAGTCTTCCTTCCTTCCCCACAGCCCAGGCTCACCCATGGGGCTGCCCAGGGAAGGGAGGCCTACAGAGCCTCGGGTTAGGTAGCCGGAGCCCAGCCTCAGCTGTTGTCTTGTGCACCGTGTCCCAAAAGCTGTGGTCTAGACCTGCTCTCCCCAGCAGCTCAAAGGTGGGGTTGGGGACTCTTCAGAGAGGACTGGAAGGGACATCTTGAGACCATCCACTTCAGACTCTTCTCCAGCAGGGTTGGGGAGGTGGGCTGGCAGGGTTGGGGGTGACATGTGTTTTGTTCCCTTCCTCGACTCTGACCCTAAGCACACATGGTCTGCTTGTCACCATGAGCCGTGTCGCTTTGCCTGGTGCTGTCTGTTGTGACCCTCGAGACAGGAAGCTGGAGCAGGGGGCACTCTCCTTCCATCCCGTTCCTCATGTGGAATGGGAGGCGAGGGCAGCTGTGAGGGCCGGGGGTGGGGACACCCGGTGGGTGCCTGTCAGGTGGTGCGGTGGGGCTGCGAAGGCTTGGGTGGAGGCCAGGGGGCGAGATTGGCCAGGGGACTTGCGGATTTTCACCACAGGTCCTTGCGGGTGACTGGGAGTGGGTGGGGGCACCACGCAGGCTAGGGAAGAGGAGACTTGGCTGTGTGTGGTCGAAGAGCAGGGTGGAAGTCTGTGCCTTGGATTCTCTGGCCTCGCTGCTGGGAGAGGGCTGGCGGGCCGGGAGGTCCACCGCGCCCCAGTGCCCCGAGAACCTGGCCCTCAGAGCTGCTGCATCCCCACTTGCCCTGCACAGACCAGCAAACAGACGCAGAGAAAGCTGCCTGGTGGCCGGCCTGCAGAGGACCCATCAGCATTTTTTCCCCTCGAACTTTGTCACGGGCTCAGGGAGTGGTTTTGAGAAGTGGGTGGAGGCCGGAGTGGGAGGGAGACTTACCTGGTTTTCACTCCTGCCTCAGGGCTGGCTGGCTGGCTCCCAGCTCACCTGCAGGAGCATGGCCCTGGTGGCAGAGAACAGGCATCTTGAGGAGCTCACTTTCACGTCCCTCTGGAGCAGAGCGAGCCACTGCACAGACAGGCGCACGGGCTCAGGAAGGGCCAGCGTGGGCAGGCTGTGACTTAGCAGCTGGCCTGGGACCAGCGTGATGAGTGAGGTCGGCTTGCTCCCGTGGTGAGGCGCGGGGATGGTCTCAGCTCTCACGGGAGAAGGAACTGTGTATGTGTGTTTGTGTGTTGGGGGGAGGCGTGTTGCCCCACTCTCAGCTCCTCGTCCCCTCTCGCCCTCTGACCGCCCCCTGCCAGGGTGTGGCTTGGCCTCCTTAGGCGCTCGTGGAAGGCTCTCCCAACACTGGGCAGCGGCTCAGCACCCCAGATGGCCCCTGCCGCCGGCAGTCTGGTTCCTCTCCACCAGCCAAGCCTGTGCCTTCCTGGCTCCTCCCTGCCGGGCCCTGCTCCTGCAGCCTCCCCTGTATGCCCACGAGGCTCTCCTGAACGGTGCCAGGCCAGGCCCCCGGGGTAGCGTGGCCAGGCAGGGGTGGGCTTCCCATGCTCTGGCTCCGGACTATTCCCTGGAGAACTCCAACTTGTTGGTTACTCACCTGCTTCAGTGGGCAGAGCCTGAGGGCCAGGGAAGTCCATGCGAATGCCGTTTCTCTCTTCTGGGTCTCCCGAGGAGACGTGGCTTCCCTGCCAAGAGCTCTCGGCCGTCCTAGACCTCGCCAGGCCTGAGCCGCTCGGCCGTAGGCCAGAGGCCGAGCTGACCCGGCGAAGAGCTGGCGTCCGGAGTTCAGCTTCTGGACTGGAACAAAAGCGCGAGTCGGAGGGAACTGTTTTCTTGAGACAGAGGCAGTGACCACCTCACACCTGGTGGGACAATGCCTGCTGGCTTTATTCTGGGGACAAAGTGGCTTCTAAACAGAGCATCGAATGGTTACATACCTTGCTCGAGGTCAAATAGCTAATAAGCACTAAGAGGGTTAAATGAGCTAATATGAAAAATAAATACCCACACTAATATAAGTACTTCTCACATCTTAATGTGTATTTCATGTCTGTGACATTTTACACTGCTGTAGTCTTAGTATTTTTATTATCTAGAGACTACATTTTTTTTTTAGCCTGGAGGCATGTGCTCTTCCAGTGACCAGGATAAGGGGAGGGAGGCTGCGCCCAGCCAGTGGGGCGTGGTCATGCCTCCCCCTTCTCCATTTCTCCATTCTGTCGGGCTTTGGAGCTTGCACTCGAACACGCTCAGCATGTTTTTCAAGCTGCTGGGTCTGGGATTCAAACTGTGCGATTGGCCTTACGGGATCTGATTCCCATAACCGTAGGGCCAGCCCCGTGCCCAGAGGTTCGGCATTGCATAGGGTGTCAGATCCCGCATGGCTGGGCCAGTCCCAGTGGCTTGGAGAAATGGAGGAAAAGGGGTTTGTCGTTTGACCGCACCCCAGGCGCTTGCTCCCTCCCTCTCTCTCTCTCTCTCTCTTTTTAGGCAAGTGCTCACACCTGCTGGCATTAAGAAGAAGAAAGAGAGGCTTATAGTTTTTCTTTTACTGGTACCGTTTACATTCTCTTCTAATGCTGTGGTATGTCCATTCACGTGGCATATTGGCCAGGGCTTCGGAAGTTCTGGGACATAATTTGGAAGCGTTTGGACTTCGGGGTCGCATTGTTATTTCTTATGTTCATCCTTCATTTTACGCCCCAGCTGGCGAGCTCCTAACATGGGCTCAGCTGGATGTCAGCTTTTATAAAATTACAGTTAATTGACTGGAATGCTTTGCAGATATTGAAACGCCTTTTACCGCTGAAGGTTGCGTTTTGTTATTTTCTTAACGTCCTTAGTCAGTACCTTGGAGCAAGTGACTTTAAGGTCACAGCCCTTTTTGCTAAACTGGGATTTAAGGACTTTAATTCACAAGTGTCATTAACAACTGAAGTTGCCCGTGTACAACTGTAATCTGTGCCACTCCCTGTCTTCTGAGGTCCTCGCTGCCTCAGGATTTCACTGCCTTTTAAACACACGCCGTTAGTCGTAGTGTGTCATGTGCTCATGTGTAGAGTGTGTCACGTGCTCATGTGTAGGCGGTATTGGGCTGTTGCAGCAGGTACAGCAGACTGTGTGGTCAGAAGAGGTGAGGTTCCTGTGGCTTTTAACCGACGGAGTACTAGTAAGAGAGAGCCCAGTTACCTACCCAGAGCTTCAGCACCGCCACACAGGAGAAGCTGGGGAAGCTCTGGGAGCCTGGGGGCTGGGCCCTTCACCCAGGCCGGTGGTCAGGAAAGCTCCAGGTCCGGAGCAGTGAGGGATCGAAGCCAGGATCTGATGGATGAACAGAAACACCCAGTGAAGGGGGCGGCACACTAGCCCGGGGGAGAGGCAGGTACACGGCAAAGGTGCCGGAGACCACTTGGCTTTGGGGCCCAGAACCCGGAAAGTGGTTCATTGTCTGTGCACTTTTGGGTGTGAGGGTGGCTAGTACGGTCACGGCCATTGTTTGTGGCACTTTTGGGTGTGAGGGTGGCTAGTACGGTCACAGCTAAGGGGCCAGGGCTGTGAGAGGAACCTGAGAGCTTCGCTGAATCTGAGCAGCAGCCTGAGGCCGGTGGGAAGCCACTGGAGAATTGCGGTTTGACTGTTTCAGAAGGTGTCACTGGTCGCCATGTGGAAAATGGTGGAGAGAAGAGGACCCTCCTACTGACATAGTTAAATTAGATAAGAGGTGGTGGCAGTAAGTATCAAAGGCCCGACAGACTGGAGAGATTTAGGGCCTGGAAGCAGCGGACGTTAGAGAGAGGCAGAGCCCTCCTGCTGGGGCAGGTGAGAGGGGCTCTAGCAAGAAGGGCAGAAATGAGAGGCTCACTGCTTGTCTTGCCCCCCCCTTTTTTCCCCTGGATTATGTTGTAAGATTTAGGAGGATGGGACTAAATACCTTTTTAAAAAAACTTTATTTACAGACTTGATTGTCTACATAGAAAATCCTACAGAATCCAAAACACCAAACTCTATTAGAACTTTTCTTTTTTGAGAGGTTTTTGCTATAGGGCACATGCACTCACCAGACAGAGACAGAAAGCGAGGGATCAACCCCTCCCCCCCCCCATGGCCACCACGATCCCTTCTCCATTCTCCTCTCGGGATCTTGAGCATAGGCGTGAGTTTAAGCCGGGTGTGGGACTCAAACCGTGGTCTACTACATGGGAGTCCAGCGACATAGCCATTACGCCAACTGCTGGTCCTGGAACTAAATACCTTTAAAAAGTCTCAGTAAACACTGAGCATAGAACTGTGCATTTGGAAGTTCCTACATGGAGTTCTTTTAATATTGAGGTTGAAAACTTACAAAGTAAATGTAGAATATATAGACTAATTTTAACTTGGTCTCAGTCCACAGGTAGCCGTTTTCTTGTTGCGAGCTCACCGTAGAGAGAAGGTGAGAAAGCAGCTCTTAGGAGGGACGACCGTGCCACACTCCCCCCTCCGCTGCTCCTGTTGGAATTTCGAGCGTGCATGCACACACATCCAGCATGTTTTTCACGCTGCGAGGTCCAGTACTCAAACCACGGAGCCAGCTGCCCTTCTGAATAACCAGAGGTGGAGAGTCAGGGTACAGGCGGGAGGGAGAGCAAGTTGCAGGAAATGGGTCCTCTGGCCAGTGGCTTTGGTAGGGTGTACATCCTACCTTGCGTCTTGCCAGCTTCCAGACAGCTGCTGGCCTTTTCAGCGTCCCCTGGCACTAGCCCCGTTCCCCCGTGCCTCGGCTCCTATCACTGGCACTTGTGTCCTCACAATCCGTGGGATTCGGCCACCTTAACTCACCCTCCTTGATACTGTTAACTTTCAAGGAAAAAAAGTAGCAGTGCTTACCAGCAGAGGGCAGTAGTTCCCTTCTGGTTGAGAAGTGCTCGCTCTGGACCTGAGTGCGCCTGCTCCGTGGAAGGCGGTGCAGCTCAGCTGTTCCCTGCTTTCCAGACGGGATGGAGATAGACACCAGCCGCACGGTGCTGGGCAGTTCGAGGACGCAGACGTTGATCACTGAGACTGGTGATGTGCTCTGAGGTGAGTGGCTTATTTTTCCCTTTGTACTGAACATAAGATTGTGTGCCACGATGGATTTTTATAGCACACTCTTTAGTTAGCAGTTTGGAAGATACTATTATAATATCTGTCTCTGAAGTTACTGAAAGTTATATGGTTCTTCCCCTACGAATCAAGGCCTGTACACATGGCGATGTCCTGTGTAATTTTTTTTCCTATAGGGCACGTGCACTCGCCAGAAAGACAGAGAGAGACAGAAAGCGAGAAATCACCCCCCAGGGGGGATGGCCACACTGCAATCTCTTCTCCTTTTCTCCTCTCAGGAACTTGGGCACCCACACACATGCACCCAGCGTGAGTTTAAGCCACCAGGTCTGAGACTCGAACCGTGGTTGACTACATGGGCATCCAGCGACATAGCCATTATGCTAACTGCTGGTTGCTGTCCAGTGTAATATTTTCTGCAGACATGCCTACCCCACACCAAGCACTGCACCAGGCATTGAGGACACTTAGAAGTCAAACGCACACCCCTGTCAGTTAACTCTTTGAATATTAGCCATTTGCTCAGAAACAGAGACCTCAAACCTACTCCCGCCCGCCCCCTAGCTCAGGTGGAAGCCATGGAGCCTCAGCCTGTGCCCTGGCCTGCTCTCGGGTTGTCTTTCCTCACTGGGGACGTTTCAAACCTTAATGTGTTCTCCAGAAAACACAAAGCGGAGATTTGCTGCAGCTCACTGCTTTTCAATTTAGGGAAGAAGCAGAAGTAATTCCAAGCTGAGTTTAAGCCTTTAATCATAATCTTGTATGCTTTCTTCCTCCTGAAAATGAGAGGCGGAGATCCTGGGCACGCAGTGTTCCAGGCTCACTTCCCACCATGTGCCGATTGGCGACGGCGTCCACAGCCAGCATGCCCGGTCGTCCCCGCCTGCTCCTCAGGGCAGACAGAGCGCTTCCGCCAGTTTCCTCTGCTATGACCTGTTCTCATGAGCTGTGCCTGAAGATTTCTCTGCCACTTTTTCATTCTGAAAACATGCTGTCCTTTGTCAGCCTGGGTATTTATCTGTAAGTCAGATTATACCTGAAGGTCACACAGTTAGTTCGTGGCACACACAGCGTGGACGAGCAGTTCCTTCCTTCGCAAGCTGTGAGGTTTTCACATTGCTAAAGTGCTGTCCTTGTGTCGTCCCTGCGTGTCCTACCCCCTGACCTTACACCGTTATTTTCTGGGGTCCTGACTGTCTCCCAGCCTGTGAGATGCCTTAGCTACCCAGGTCCTTACTTCATTAATCTAATGGTAGTAGTTGGCAAGATTTTCGTATCTCAGTTCCGGGGGTCAGTAACGTCACCGTCTCACTGTATGAGACATCTTTTGGTACCAACTTAAGCCTTCTTTCCTTACCACTTTATCTTTTTGTTAATATTTTTTAAGAAAAAATGTTGGGGATTATTTAATTTTATTTACTTTTTTAATTTGACTAGGGTGGCAGGGAGGGAGTGAGAAAGCAAGCTGTCAGATCTAGGACTCAAACTGTGGTTGGCCATGTGGGAGTCCAGGGCCCTCAACTACCACGCCACCTGCTGGCCCCTATTATTATTAGTATTATTATTATTATTTTAATTTGCTATGGGGTGCTATAGGGCATGCACCAGGGAGAGACGGATAGAGGGAAAGCGAGAAAGCCACCAGGTCCAGGACTTGAACTGTGGACAGCCACGTGGGAGCACAGCACCTTAACTACCATGCCACCAGCTGGCACCGTGGGCACATTTTTTATATAGGGTATTGATACTTTCAGTTCAGTGATACAGTAATTTTTTTTTTCAGCTTGAAAATAGATTTCTGGATCTTCTAGCTTTCACATTTTTCTTCTTGAAAAGAACTTTTCAAAGACCATCTACTACCCTATTAAAGATCATGAAGGGCCAGCAGCTGGCATGGTGATTAGGGACACTGGACTCCCACATGGCCGACTGAGGTTCGAGTCCTGGACCAGGCAGCTTGCTTTCTCACTTTCCCTCTCTCTCTCTCTGTTCCTCTGTGGTCAAATTAAAATAAATAAAATAAAAAAGAAAATAAAAAATAGAGATCATGAGAGGGACCAGCAGGTGGCATAATGATTACATCACTGGACTCCCACAAGGCTGACCATGTTCAAGTCCTGGACCAGAGGCTTGAACTAATCCTGGGCATGTGTGCATATGTGTCCAAAATCCCAAGAGGAGAATAGAGAAGGGATCCCCGTGTGGCCATACCCCTGCGGGGAGGATTTCTCGCTCTCTGGTGTGCGGACGTGCCCTAGAGCAAAAATCCCTCTAACAAAAAAAAAAAACAAATAAATAAAATCATGATCAACTCGTTAGTTATGTCACTGATAGTTACGCAAATGAGATGTTCCGGCAATCCCTGGCAACAATCCTTAGGACTCTTTGTAATAATGAAATAACCATAAAACAGCCACAGACTACCTAATAAGCTGTTGGTTTGTTTCCTTTTCATTTTATGCTAGCTCTCAAAACAAAAGAAATATTGGGACCAGCAGTTAGTGTAATGGCTATGTCGCTGGACTCCCACGTAGTCGACAACATTTCGTGTCCCGGACCCGGTGGCTTAAACTCACGCCGGGCGCATGTGCATGCGTGCCCAAGATCCTGAGAGGAAAATGGAGGAGAAGGGACTGTGGCGTGGCCATCCCCCCGGGGGGTGATTTCTTGCTTTCTATCTCTCTGTCTGTCTCTGTCTGTCTGGCGAGCGCACACGCCCTATAGCAAAAACCTCTCCAAAAAAAAAAAATTTTATTCATAATGTTTATACATGTTCTTCATCTGGATAATTGACCTGAATTCCAAACAATACCTATAAATTTTTTTGAAGAATTATCTGTTTAATTTTTAAATTTATTATTATTATTATTGTTATTTAATTTGCTATAGGGTATGCAAGCTCACCAGAGAGAGAGAGAGAGAGACAGTGAGAAAGAAAGCAAGTCACCAGGTCCAGAACTTGAACTGTGGTCAGCCTTGTGGGAGTCCAGCGATGTAATCATTATGCCACCTGCTGGTCCCTCTCATGGCTCCTATCTGTAAATTTTCAGTTGTTTAAAATCGTATATTCCTTTAAAGGGTGAACAGGAATGGTGTGTTTATGCAACCATTAGTAATTTCAAGGTAATGGATGGGACCGCTTCATGGATGGGACCGATGAAGGGAAAGCGATGAGTGATGGGATCGCCTGCTCTGTGCCTTTGGACCAGGCAGGTAACTTGGCTAGTCTTCGGTCTCCTCATCTGTAAAATGGGGATGATGATAACCACCTGGCAGGGTTGTTGCCCACACGGAGATCTAATATAGCTAAGTCCCCCGACATTCTTGACTCGGTATTCATTAACTAGCCATCATCATCATCAATACCATGCATCTTATGTTTTACAGAGTCTGCTCCTAACGGGAGGAGAGAACGTGTCTCTTCCACTCTGGAGTGCGGTCGAGGAAAGTCTGTACGTCTTCAGCTTGACCTGAACCAACTCTTTCTTAAGACAGACTATACTGAGACAGCACGTTGTCACCAGCAGAAGAAACCATGACCTTTATTAACAAAGGTGAATGAACTTAATCACGGGAGTATTTGTGGTTTATCATTTACCCCGAAGCGCTCTGTGTGTAGGTCCCTCTGAGTGAGCCTGTAGTGCCGTCTTCGCTGTGTGCGTGTTCTGTAAGCTCGTAGGCCCACGCAGTGGAAGCTCGTAGGCCCACGTGGTGGAAGCACACAGGAGCTTGGACGTGTTGGTAGGTGGGGTGGGAAACCGAGACTGAAACTAAGGTAAGCCCTTTGGAATGCCCTTCCCCAAGAGAAAAACAAAGAAATCCCAGAGACTCCTCCCTTTGGCTTGTCTCCACAGGGGCAAGAGTCTTAACACTAGTTTGGGGCCCAGATTGGTTAATTCAGGCATCTCGAGGGGGCCTCCTCAGAAACACCCTGCCACACCTGCTTCCCTGACACACGCGCTCTGGCTCCTTCCGCTCCTGTGGCCCTGTTTGGCCAGTCTGTCCTGCCATCACCTCTTAGGTTATGTCTCTCATTTCCAACCCCTTAGGTATTAGTTTTCTGTTACAGAACAAGTGAAACTGGGATGAAGTTCTCAAAGTACTTCAAATGGGAATCGTTTTGCTGTAATAGCCTAACAAATAAATCTTGGTTTTCTGTATCATGCTCTCATTCTTTACTGCAACCTTTAATGAGTAAGGCTTTTTTAGAAGTTAATGTGGGCAGCAAATGAGAATCTTCGTCTTATTTTTGTGTATTTTGTTGAGGTGGTGAACTTGAAATTATTAATAAAATGTTTAGTTAGATCGTATTTAGTAAGGTAAGGATTTAACATCTTTCAAGAGCTTTTTTGTTTCTTTGCTTGGATAAGAAAGTTTTTTTTTGTTTTTTGTTTTTTTTTTTAGAAAAGTTTTTTGTTTGTTCATTTGTTTTTGCTATAGAGCATGAACACTTGCTGGAGAAACAGAGAGACAGAAAGCAAAAAAATCACATCCCGGGTGGATGGCCAAGCTGCATTCCCTTCTCCTCCATTCTCCTCTCGGGATTTTCAGCACGCACGCCTGCACACACACCGGGCATGAGTTTTAAGCCGCCGGGTCTGGGAATAGCTGTGGTCGACTACATTGGAGTCCAGTGATGTAACCATTATGCCATCTGCTGGTGCCCCAGGAGTAATTTCTTAAGCTTGTCAACAGTTAACTTTGTTATCAGTTTTCACATATATCTGGGTATTTATAAGGCTGGTTTGTAATTACAGATTTATATTTAGATTCATTACCATTATGTGTCCTTAAAAATAAGGTTAGGTGGTGGGACCAGCAGTTAGCGTAATGGCTATGTCTCTGGACTCTCATGTAGTCAACTGTGGTTCGAGTCCTGGACCCGGTGGCTTAAACTCACGCTGGGCACGTGTGCATGCGTGTCCAAGATCCCAAGAGGAGAATGGAGAAGGGATTGCGGCGTGGCCATCCCCCCTAGGGGGTGATTTCTCACTTTCTGCCTCTCTGTCTCTCTGTCTTTTTGGCGAGCGCACGTGGCGTATAGAAAAAAACCTCTCCAAAAAAAGAAAAAAATAATAAGGTTAAATGAACCGTTGAGTCACTTGCTAATCCCTGAACTGTAGTTTGACACCACTCAGCCTAGTGTTTTCTGATTTTCCTTTTTCTATCTAAATTCAGAAATTCTGAATTTGTTACAATAGAAACACAAAAAGAAAAAAATAAAAACCTCTTGAAATGTAAACTAAATTTACTGAGACCACCTCTGTACCAGCTCCTTTCCTGGCTCTTTGCATATAATGCATTATACTATTCTTAACTTTTTAATTTTGGGGGATTAGTATCTCTTTTTTTTTTTTTTTTCTGAAGCTTACTTTTTAGGGCACATGCATTCACTCGAGAGAGAGAGCGAGAGAAAGAGAAATCACCCCCCCATGGGAAACCGCCACATTACAATCCCCTCTCTTCATCTCCTCTCGGGACTTTGGGCACGTCTGTGCCTGTGCTCCGTGTGACCCAAGCTGCCAGGTCTAGGACTCAAACTGTGAAGTCAGCCATGTGGGATCCAGCCACTCCCACCACCATGCCACCTGTTGGCCCCTGTTCTTAACTATCTTACAAGGTATAGATGCTTTTCTTTTCCCACTTTATAAATGAGGAAACTGAGTAGAGAGGTAGAGTAACTTGCTGAAGGCCAAGCTTGTGCACCGAGACACACACAGCCTCACGCTCTCCCTGCAGCTGAGCGGAAGCAGAGTCCCCGGGTGTGCAGAGTTAGCCTATCAGTGGGCATCACAGAAGGGTCCCAGATTGCTTTGCTACCGACCTAAGTAGCATCTATAATATTTTGTTTTTGTTTTTCTAGAGCCACCTATTCTTGAGGGAGAAAGGGAAAGTGAAAAAGCACCCCTCGTGGGGGATGGTCATGCCACAATCCTTTCTCCATTTTTCATTTTGGGGTTTTGGGTACCTATCCCAAGCTTTTCAAGTGGCCAGGTCTAAGACTGGGGGGGTCATGGGGGGTCCAGCTGCCTTCACCACCACGCCACTGGCTAGCCTGTAGCACCTATAATTCTGCCCACAGAAGTTTGTCCATTCCTCAGTAAGGAGTCGGGATAATCTCATGGGCTGATCTTAAAAATTCCATTTGTAGGGCCAGCAGATGGTGTAGCAGTACATCACAGGGCTCCCACATGGCTAACTACGGTTCGAGTCCCGGGCCTGGTGGCTTGAAACTCAGGCTGGACGCATGTGCCCAAGATCCTGGGAGGAGAATGGAAGAAAAGGGATTGAGGGTGGCCATCCCCTACCCCCACCCCCACCCGGGGTGGTGGTAGTGGTGATCTCTCCCTTTCCCTCTCATTGTCTTTGTCTTCTCCCACCCCACTCACATGCACATACGCCCTAAGGCAAAAACCTCTACAGAGAAAAAATAAAAATTCCACTTGTGTTCTTTCGTAAAGGAACAAAGTTGCTATCATGCCTTTGAGTGAAGCGTAAGTGCTCCGATAAGGCGATGTCAAGGAGCTTCCCTGCGCTGCTTCCTGTGGCGTTGCTGCCGTCAGCCTGGTACTGTGGGTGATGCGGGGCGCAGGGAGGCAGGAGACCGAGCGTCTGCTCTTACTGGGCAAGCCGGGGAGTTAACCTCTCCAGGCCTCGTTCCTTGACTGGAAAGTGGGGATCAGACTAAAGTCTTGGAGAGATTCAGCTGTAACATTCTGTGGTACTGGGGAGTTGTCTCCGCCACGTGAGGAAAAGGATAAGGTCAGGCTTTTCAAAAACGAAAGTAATAATGATCAGCAGACCAGCACTGGCTGATTGTTTGGGCTTAACGTTGGTGTTGTCGGAGTTGTCTTATGTTTTCTTGACGTAGAGAAACTTGAAGGGCATAGACTTTTCCCCCCAGAATAAGAGCCAGTGAAACTGCAGTGAGTTCTCGGTTTTAGTTTATGTCATTAAAAAAATATATATATGCATTAAAATATGGTCCCCAGGGATTTCCTTCTCCCTCACATCAGTTAGTCAAATATTTATACTTTTCGATACGTGTCTGTGTGTTGAGGGGGTCCTTTTCTGTCGGGTCTCACCTCCTGAGTAGCTGGGACTCCAGCTTCATGCCCGTGTCCAGCTTAGGGTGCGCCTGGAGTGCAGCCCGGGCCTCCCACGGAGCAGTGCCCACTGTGTGCCACTGTGTGCCCACTGTGTGCCACTGTGGCTGGGCCTGTAGTACTGTAGCACTTGCCTTTTCTCTGATACATTTAAATTCATGCTTTTTTACCCCTTTCAGAATTTTTTTGCTAGAGGGCTTGTCACCAGCTATGGCAGGTCCCAGATACCTTGGCTGAGCGCTGCTCTGTATGGTCATTAGTCCTAGCTACGCAGTGTGTGTTAATTCTGTTAAGTAAAATATTTTTTAAATTTGGAGGCAGGGGCTGCTCCACGACCTGGTGGTTTAGGCAGCAAGGTCCAACATGGTGTCACGTGGTTAAAGCCTCAGGGCCGGAGGCTCGAAGAGCATGCCGGGCACAGTGCGTGCATGGCCAGCAGCACAAAAGGAAGGGGGGAAGGCATGGGGGCTTAATCCAGTTACAGTTCTGAAAGTCGGGGTGCAGGGAGGTGAGCAGGCAATGGGGTGGCTGCTTCGGCTCTACGGGGAGATGCAGGTGTGCGTGCTCCTGCTCTCACTGTGCGTGCGATCCAGCGTGCTACCCACCAGCAGGACCCTCACCCAGCAAGGCCCCTTGACCTCGGAGCTCCAAAATCATGAACTAAATCAGTCTCTCTTTATAAGCTACCCAGAATTAGCTGCCTCTGTTATGAGCAACCTAACGGACTGGACAGGGTCCTAGACTGAGTGAGCTCAAGGGGGTTCGTGGTTGGAGGGTGGGGTGCAGGAAGATTTCAGTTGTTGGTAACAACACGTTGAAGGTTGTGATCCTACAGTCTGTAGTGGAGGCAGAACAGAGGGCAACATTACTATAGGAGACTCAGCAGCAGACCCAGTCTAGACACGGCGAGGATCACCTTCGTGAGGGTTAATCACCAGGAAATACAACAGGAATTATGTTGGCAACAGTGGAAGTGAAATGGGAAGCAGGATCTTAAACGGGGAATGGAGGGGACCGTGCAGTAGATACCGTCAGCAAGGACTCGGTGGCAGGGACCTATTTTGAATGGCGGAAGCCAAGGTGGACGGCCGGGAACTCCCGCCTGCTGCTGCAGCCCCAGTGGTGTGAGGAGTGGGAGGGAAGGTGGCCACCTCTGCGGCTGCAGAGGGTCGGGCAGTTCAGACGTGGTGTTTTCACAAATTAACACCCACTTTCGTCCACCACAGAGTTCCTCATGCTAGAGACATGACTAGAAAGGAGTATTTCTGTATGAAAACAGCCTTGAAACAGTAAGTGAAACTCAGCTTCCTGTTTAGAAAACAACTATTTTTAAGGGAATAATCATTATTTTGTGTCGGTGCCGTGGCAGAATTTAGGCCCTCTGAGTTTTTTTCAAGAGAAACTGAACTATATATGTGTATAAAAGACTTGAAATACTGGCTTTTATTATTTTTTTTCTTTTATATGCTGTGCAGGCTCAGTAAAACATGACAGGAGACTACATTTAGCTACTCGATCACAATTCTGTGAACTCTGCTTGCTCAAGTACAAACGCATCTGATAACCTGTGCGTAAGTTGCACAGTCCACGGCCGAGCCAGCTGGCTCCATTATCCAATGGCCTTGGCAACGGGCTGCCTGGCTCACCTGCAGCCTGAGCAGCAGGCCGTGTAGGAGCTGGTCCCACAGCACGTAAGGGACCTGGCAACCTGTCAGTTGCTTGCTCAGTGATTATTACTCAGACAGATCCTGTCTCACCCTATGTTTTTTAACTTGAGTTCTAACTCTGATAATAGGGTTTCCTTTGGAGAAAAACATGTTCAACCTTTTACAGCCTGAACTTTTAATAAAAACTAAAACTCATAGTGTAAAAAGTGGCTTCTAACTGAGGAAAACCTAAAAGTTCTTCAAGCCTCAAAAACCACTAGGTTCAGGGGCCGGCAGGTGGCATGGTGGTTAAGGATGCTGAACTCCCACATGACTGGCCACAGTCTGAGTCCTGGACCTGGAGGGTTGTTTCTCACTTTCTCTCTCTCTCTCACTCTGTCCTTCTCTGATCAAATTAAAAATAAATAAATGAAAAGCTAAATAAAATAATGCTTAAAAAAAATCTAAACATTTTAAAAGAGGTTGTTGGCTGAGGGTATGTGCACACCCCAGGTTGAGAGAGACACAGAGACAGTGAGAAGGAAAGTGTGAAATCACCCCCAGGAAGGCTGGCCACGCCGTAATCCCTTCTTCATTCTCCTCCCTGGAGAATGGGCACACACCTGGTGTAAGTTGCAAGCCACTGGGTCTGGGATTTGAACTGCAGTTGGCTGTGTGGTGAGTCCAGTGACATAACCACTGCGTCACCTACTGGCCCCAAATAATTTTTTTTTCTATTTTTGGAGAGGTTTTTGCTATAGGGCGCATGCGCTTGCCAGAAAGACAGAGAGACAGAAAGCGAGAAATCACCCCCCAGGGAGGATGGCCACGCAGCAATCCCTTCTCCATTCTCCTCTTGGGATCTTGGGCAAACACACACACACGCCCAGCGTGAGTTTAAGCTACTGGGTCCGGGACTCGAACTGCAGTTGGCTACATGGGACTTCAGCAACATAGCCATTATGCTAACTGCTGGTCCCTAGGATAAATTTTAATATTACAAAATATTTCTTTTTTTTTCAAGACCTTCGGTTTTCCTTTAGTCGTGATGACTGAGAAGAATTAGGGGAGTGAAGCAGAAATCTCCCCGCAGCGTTTGGCTCTGAGTGACCTTGGGCAGGACTGCGAACCTTTCTGGGCTTAGTTTCCTTATCTGTAAGGTGGAGGTTAAAAATACACACCCTGTCAACTTCAGAAAATATGAAAAGCTTAAATACTGGCCTGTTGTGGATTCTTTGTTCTAGTAGATGAGAGAATAACAACTGGAGCTAGTGAGGTGGTTTATTTAGAGAAAATACTTCAGATACCAGAATAGAACGTGTTGAAAATTCAGGAAACCTTTCGCGAACGAGTGGGCACATAATCTACTTGTAGAAGCGACTTTCCTACTGAAAGATGACACTGTTGATAATAGTACTGATCTGTGAGGTAGAGGCTGAAAAGCATCTTCTCCAGTTCCACACCTTGACAGGTTTTGCTTTGGTTACGAAATCCTGTTTATACAGGTGACACTCGATACACGGTTTCTTTGCTCCTGCCGTCTTCTTGGTCTTCTTCGTTCCCCTTCTTACCCAGCACTCTTTTTTTTTGGAGAGGTTTTTGCTATAGGGCACGTGTACTCGCCAGAAAGACAGAAAGCGAGAAATCACCTCCCCAGGGGAGGGCCACACCGCAACCCCTTCGCCTGCATTCTCCTCTCTGGGACCTTGGGCACACATGCATATGCGCCCAGCATGAGTTTAAGCCACCCAGTCCGGGACTCGAATCGTGGTCAGCTACTTGGAAGTCCAGTGACGTGGCCATTATGCCAACTGCTGGTCCCACCCAGTACTCTTTCATTATGTTTTTTTCTTTGAGAGATTTTTACTGTAGGGCTCATGCTCTCACCCAAGACACAGAAAGCTAAAAATCACCCCCCACCAGGGGATGGTTACGCTGCAGTCCCTTCTCCATTCTCCTCCTGGGATCTTGGGTATGCACGCACACTTGGCATGAGGTATGAGCCAACGGGTCCAGGACTTGAACCACAGTCAACTATGGGGGGAGTCCAGTGACATAATCATTAATGTCATCTGCTGGTCCCCTCTTTGGATTTTTTATCAACGTTAACAATGATCTCTTGAGACTTAGGTTTAATGTAATGGGCCTTTTCTAGCAGCATTTAATACATCACTCAAAAGAACAAGTCTTAACAGAAATACCGTATACCTCATTTTCACAGGAATTGTTTTAAGTCCCAGTGATGAAAACTGTAAGGCAGCTTCCTCAAGGAAGTGACATTGAACTGGGGCAGCCAGTGAGTGCATTGGAGCGGGGCCAGCCAGTGGCTCGAGTGTGCAGAGGTAACACCTTTATCCCATCCAGCTTGACCGTCCTGTGACTCAGTCTGAGTCATTTAGAATTGTTACTCCATTTTGTTAGTTGTGTGGTTGTTGTGCAGCCATGGGAGGAAAAAGCTGAACATCAAAATCATTACTAATATACCTGGAAAACAAAATACAGTAGAATAAAAACAAAATAATCCGAGAATGTTTACAATCACTGCATATAATTTAAGATTATATACAATTCTATACGTGCCTAGAGATTGGGAAGCTATGCCTTAAGAATGAGCTACATTGGGCCAGCAGATGGTGGGGCAGTTGGGGTGGTTGGGGTGCTAGATCCCACATGGCTGACTGCACAATTGGGGTCCTGAACCCAGTAGCTTGAAAAGCACTCCAAGTCTGTGCATGCCCAAACTCCCGAGAAGAAAATGGAGGAGAGGGGACTGTGGTGTGGCCACCCACCACCCAGGTGGTGATTTTTCACTTTCCCCCTCTCTCTCTGTTTCTATCTACACATACCCTACAGCCAAAACCAAAACAAAACAAAACAACAGAATTAGCTACATTAATTCCACATGAAACATGAATTTACCAGAGAGTACATAGGCTTGCCAGAGAGAGCAAGCGAGCGAGCTGGCAAGTGAGAAGGTCCCTGCGCCCTTAAGGAATGGTCACGCTGCAGGCCCTGCTCCATCTCTCCTTGCAGGGGTTTGGGACATGCACACACACCGTGCTGGGGTGTGTTTCAAGCCTCCAGGTCTGGGATTTGAACCATGTGTTAGGCCATGTGGGATCCAGGCATTTTAACCACCAGGCCGTAAAACCAATACATGAGATATTTTGTAGTATAATATTTTGACATTATTTTTCTCCCAACTATGAACCCTTAAAACCGTCTGTACAGGATCTAAACAATGAATTTGATCATCAGACTCCAGATTTACAGCTTTAGTTCTGGGTCCAGTACTGATCTGCTGAGTGAGAAACCCTGGGTGTGTTTACTCCTCTTTAAAATGGCAGTTCTCTGTCCCTCCATGCCCCAGGGATGTACCCAGAGAGTAAAGGAACTGGAATGACTCTTGTGTTTTCACTTGGAGTGCTTGTAAGAATGACATGTTAGATTACTTTCTCCCTCCTATTATTTTTTATCAGTCATAATCATTAATAGCTTCTAGAAAAGAATCAAACAAAAATATTTAAAATGGAAAATTTAAGTCAATGCTGAAATTTTAAATCTTAAATGTAATTAAATGTTGGGACCAGCAGGTGGCACAGTGGTTAAGGCACTGGACATTCCCACGGTTCAAATCCTGGACCTGGTGGCTTGCTTTCTCACTTTCCCTCTCTCTCTCTCTGGTGAAATTAAAAAAAAAAAAAGGAATAAATAAAGAAAAAAAAAAACATATTCACCTCTTCAATACCAGATATATTGTTTACCCCTAACTTCTTTAAGGAAAACCGAAGTTTCTTATCATCTGCTGTAGCTATTCTATGAACCACCTTCTTCTTTCTGCGAGCAGTTCCTTTCCCACCAACATGCACTTGTGCCTGCAGCTTAGCGAGTTTTTCCTGGTTCATGATAGTTTCTTTCATCTTGTCAGAGTGGAAACAGGTCTCTTGCTGACAAGCGCACGCACCCCATAGCACAAACCTCTCCAAATAAATAAATAAATAATTATTTTAAAAATATATAATTAAATGTGAAAAAAAGAATCATGAGAGAGGTGTAAGAGGGAATCAAGGGGGAAAAAGAAAGCAAAATGGACAATTATCTGGTGACGGTAATGATATGGTAATATCTTTGGACTAACACACGATGTATTCATGGATGAGAGAATCCATTTAGTATGCTGTAAAGACGTCCTAGTGACTGAATGTAAAACAGTAAGGAAATTCTTTAAAAAGACACACCAAAACATAACAAAACAAAAAAGCCATATATTAGTAAATCTTCATTTTGAGGTTACACCAAACAAACCTAGCATCTAGTTGGTTAATCTGTTTTGTTTTGTTTTGGTTTGTTTTTTTTTTGAGAGGTTTTTGCTATAGGGCACATGTGCTTGGCAGAAAGACAGAGAGAGACAGAGACAGAAAGCGAGAAATCACCCCCCGGGGGGATGGCCATGCCACAATCTCTTCTCCATTCTCCTCTCGGGATCTTGGGCATGCACGCACATGCGCGTGGCGTGAGTTTAAGCCACCAGATCCGGGACTCAAACTGCCGTTGACTACATGGGAGTCCAGGGACATAGCCATTACGCTAACTGCTGGTCCCTTAGTTAGTTAATCTGTCAACATGAAATAGGGATAGAAGAGAGTGACGTAAGAGCTCAGTCACTATCTTGCAACTGAAGTCTGCAATGGGTTTTGTTTTTTTTTGTTTTTAATCTCATCATATTTAGACTTAAAGCTGTTGATGGAAATAGTCACTCGCTCACTCATATCCCAGAGTTTCTTCTAGTAATATCATACCTGAAACTGTCAACCTTCATGTAGATCATTTTGGTTCTTTTGAAGACAAAACAAGGTCTTCTGTTTGTTTTGGAGATTTTTTGCCATAGGGCACATGTGCTCACCAGAGAGAGCGACAGAGGAAAGGGAGAAATGACCCTTCAGAAGGGATGGCCATGCTGCAGCTCCATCTCCTCTGTTCTCCTCTCAGGATTTTGGGCACACATGCAGAAGTGCCTGCTGCGATTTTCAAGCTGCTGGGTCCTGGACTTGAACTGCCAGAGTCAGCCATGTGGGATCCAGTGACTTAAGTACCATACCATCTGCTGGCCCATAAATACAGTTTTTAACGATGCTGCTCAAAACAAAACGTTTCAGGCATGCAAACTACCTTTTTCATTTTGTTTGTGCCTACTCTTTGGAAATAGACATGTTACAGTGACATCCCATAACTTAAGATCTCAGACATATTAAATCAAAATATGCTTACCTAAAGAAGGAGCCAGCCAATATACTATAAAAAATTGAGTGAATGCTTCATCAAAACACACGAAATGTAGTGACAATGCCAAAGCTGGGTTAAACACAGCTCCTGTGAGACTTCCTCCTGTAATACATTTCAAGCAGAGTGATTCCAAACAATATACATCTTCTTGCAACTGGAGATAAATGGGTTATTAAACGGGACTTTTATTTTAGTTACATTTTTTAGAGAGGGCATGCCACAGAGGCAGAGGGAGAAAGCAAAGAAAGCACACCCACACGCGTGCCCCATTCCACAGTTCCCTCTTCGTTTCTCCATCCCATTGGTGAGGCACGTGCCCACACATGCCCGGCTTGCTTTTTCACGCTGCCAGAGCTGGAATTTGAACCAGAGTTGGCAATGTAGGATCTGGCTCTCTTAACCAGTAGGCTACAGGGACGGCCCACATTTGAGGTATATGAAGTATCCTTATTCTGTGATGTTCCTTTGCAGGATCACCTGGCATATTAGAGTTAACGACAGATTATAATGTGCCAGGTAAACATCTCATCATATTTAGACTTAAAGCTGTTGATGGAAATAGTCACTCGCTCACTCATATCCCAGAGTTTCTTCTAGTAATATCATACCTGAAACTGTCAACCTTCATGTAGATCATTTTGGTTCTTTTGAAGACAAAACAAGGTCTTCTGTTTGTTTTGGAGATTTTTTGCCATAGGGCACATGTGCTCACCAGAGAGAGCGACAGAGGAAAGGGAGAAATGACCCTTCAGAAGGGATGGCCATGCTGCAGCTCCATCTCCTCTGTTCTCCTCTCAGGATTTTGGGCACACATGCAGAAGTGCCTGCTGCGATTTTCAAGCTGCTGGGTCCTGGACTTGAACTGCCAGAGTCAGCCATGTGGGATCCAGTGACTTAAGTACCATACCATCTGCTGGCCCATAAATACAGTTTTTAACGATGCTGCTCAAAACAAAACGTTTCAGGCATGCAAACTACCTTTTTCATTTTGTTTGTGCCTACTCTTTGGAAATAGACATGTTACAGTGACATCCCATAACTTAAGATCTCAGACATATTAAATCAAAATATGCTTACCTAAAGAAGGAGCCAGCCAATATACTATAAAAAATTGAGTGAATGCTTCATCAAAACACACGAAATGTAGTGACAATGCCAAAGCTGGGTTAAACACAGCTCCTGTGAGACTTCCTCCTGTAATACATTTCAAGCAGAGTGATTCCAAACAATATACATCTTCTTGCAACTGGAGATAAATGGGTTATTAAACGGGACTTTTATTTTAGTTACATTTTTTAGAGAGGGCATGCCACAGAGGCAGAGGGAGAAAGCAAAGAAAGCACACCCACACGCGTGCCCCATTCCACAGTTCCCTCTTCGTTTCTCCATCCCATTGGTGAGGCACGTGCCCACACATGCCCGGCTTGCTTTTTCACGCTGCCAGAGCTGGAATTTGAACCAGAGTTGGCAATGTAGGATCTGGCTCTCTTAACCAGTAGGCTACAGGGACGGCCCACATTTGAGGTATATGAAGTATCCTTATTCTGTGATGTTCCTTTGCAGGATCACCTGGCATATTAGAGTTAACGACAGATTATAATGTGCCAGGTAAACACGAGAAAAGACAAGACATGGAAAGTTTAAACGCAGTGCTTTTCTTATGTGCTGTAAAACGTGCATTGAAAAGTAACTGCAGGCGGTGTGGTGGTTGAAGCGCTGGACTCCCACATGGCCGACCATGGTTTGAGTCCTGGACCTGGTGGCTTGCTTTCTCACTATCTTTCTGTCTCTCTGTGGTCAAATTGAGGAAGAGTAATAAAATTAAACAAGTCTTTAAAAAAAAAAGAAAAGTAACTGCTCTATTATTGTTCCTCCCTTTCCAGAAGATAGGTTTGACTGCCTTTAACATTCACCAATTTAAATGAATGAATAAGAGCAGAATGGAAACACCATTAAAATGGATAGAATACAGCCAAGATCCTCCTGGACACAAATACAGCTTTGTATGAAAAACAAAAAGTAAATGGACCAGAACACTATCATTGGTTCCATTTTTACTTGTCAACAGGGTCCTTACAAAGTGAGGGTGGGGCTGGCCTCATAGCCTAGTGGTTGGGAGAACTGGCTCCCACATGGGTGACTGTGGTTCAAGTCCCAGCCCTGGAGACTTGAAAAACATGTTGGGCTCATGTGTGTGCATGCCCTAAATCCCAACAAGATGGAGAAACGAAGCAGAAGAGATTGGGGTGTGATCATTCTCCATGTGTGGTGGTACTTGCCCCCCTCTTCTCTGTCTCTCTAACTCTTAACTAAACCACAGAGAGAGCCCATGATGTTCACAAGCTGTATACTGACACACATCACTGTAGCATGCGTTCGTAAAATACAGAGGATTAAAATTGCAAATTAAGTGACGTTTCCTGAGATTTCACTAATGACGTTTTGCACTTGATAAGCCAAGGATGAAGAAGCTGTGTTGTGATGAAGATATTGAGCAATAGACAAAGTTCAGTCGATGACCGCAAGTTTTTTTAACCTCCCAGTATGACTCACATTCATGACTTAGCAGTTGTAAATGACATCACATCATAGACCTTCAGAATCTTACTCGAACAAGGTCAGCAGAATTGTTTGGTTGGCAGCAAGTCATTTCATTCTTCTCCACAAAAAATGAGTTTCCAGGACCAGCAAGCAGTTGGGGTAATGGCTATGTCGCTGGACTCCTGCGGTTCGAGTCCTGGACCCGGTGGCTTAAACCCACGCTGGGTGCGTGTGCGTGCGTGCCCAAGATCCGGAGAGGAGAATGGAGGAGAAGGGATTGCAGCATGGTCATCCCCCCTGGGGGGTGATTTCTCTCTGTCTCTCTGTATCTCTCTGTCTCTCTGGCAAGCACATGTGCCCTATAGCAAAAACATCTCAAAAAAAAAAAATTCCCATGTACTTAGACACCATGGGCAGGAAGGTAAGGACTCACACAGATGACTACATAATGCATGAACTGTGTGATAATGTAAGTGACCCATGACTACTTTAGGCATTTATCAATAGTAACAGACTCAGGCCAGCCAGTGGCATAGAGGTTAGGGCAGCTGGATCCCACATGACCAGCTGTGCAGCTGAGTCCCAGACAGCTTGAGAAGCACACTGGGTGTGCATGTGTGCATGCCCACGGTCCCACAGGGAGAAATCGAGAAGGTGGTAGTGTACCCTTCCCCGTGGAGGTACGCCTGTCCCCTTACCCCCTGGTGAGCACACATGGGTTCTAGCAAATTATTAAATAAAATTGAACTGTTGCCCTCAGAGTTTACTTTGGTATTCCAAGCCATGTTAAAGAATCTAGTCAGTTAAAGATGAATACTACCAGTCAGTCTTATACCATCTGAAAACTCGAACTATTTCACTTCCCTTATCTCCTTTTTCTTTTTTTTTTGGAGAGGTTTTTGCTATAGGGCGTGTGCACTCACCAGACAGAGAGAGACAGACAGAAAGCAAGAAATCATCCCCCAGGGGAATGGCCACGCCGCAATCCCTTCTCCTCCATTCTCCTCTCCAGATCTTGGGCACACATGCACACGCGCCTGGCGTGAGTTTAAGCCACCGGGTCTGAGACTCGAACCGCGGTCAACTACGTGGGAGTCCAGCAACATAGCTATCACGCTAACTGCTGGTCCCCTCCCTTATCTCATAATCCTCACATCATCAGTTCTGCTCACCATGACCTGATGGAAGCTGCCTCTCTGAGGGGTGGAGGCTGCTTCCCTGCTCTGGAATGTGGGCTGACACTCCAAACAGGTTGACAGAATCCAACAGGAGTGACACGACATGAGTGCTGAATGTGGCAGCCGTGACCCTTGTATTCTAGGTTCAGGTGTGAAACTTACCAGCGTCCATTTTTTGCTCTCTTGGAACAATGCCCTAACCATACAGGTAAGCTGGTCAAGACTGCCGGCAGATAAGAGGCCAGGTGAGAGAGACCAGGTGTCCCCAAAGACAGCTGGCACCAACCTCTAGGCCTGGGTGAAGCTACTTGGGCTTTTCCAACCCTGCAACTGCCCAGCCAAATACTGCTGTGTAAGTATTAGAGAACTTGTCTAACCCACAGGATCATGAAAAATAAGTTGTTAGGTTTGGGGATGGTTTGTTATACAGCACTGGTTAACTGATACAGAAACCCCTTTCGGGCGTGGGTTCTGTAATAACAGAAGCCTGAAACATGGCATTTGCTTTGCTGTTTTACAGGACACGTCTTTGTCGTGGGTGGCCGCCCTGTGCATCGTGGGATATTTAGGGCATCCCTGGCCTCTACCCACTTGGTGCCAGTAGCACCTTCCCTCCCCACAACTGTGACAACCAAAAAACGTCTCCAGGCATTGACCAAATGACCGCTGGCAGGAGGTAAAATCATTCCACCGGGAACAACTGTCCTAGAGAAATATCCTGGTTCTCACGTACAAGAAGACAAATCGGAGATGATTTATAGTAGAACTGGGGAAAACCTAAATGTGCATTCTCAGAAAAATAGCTAAATCAACAAGTTTGCTGTTCCTCAAGAATAGCTGCAGTATTCTGAAATGAGAGAAATCTCTTTATTCTCAAGACCTTCAAGATAGATCCTTGAACAACTACCACCAAAAGAAGCAAACTACGGAAAGTAAGATACACTTCCTATGTCAATATGACATGCACGTATATGTAATATACAGTTTCTGTAGGGTCTTATCCACACACTCAATGCACATACAGAGTTCGGGAGGCCAGTGCACCACACCTGAGGACTAACTGGGGGGAAGGCAGGCAGGGAGGGGAGGCGAGGGATGGGAGCTAGCCGTCAGAAGGCACTTGAGTGTTTGGTTTTTTACAAAGAACATACTCATGTACTGTGTAATTAAACATGCATGATCTAAATAGAATCATCAGCACAGAACTATCAGAAAATGGCTTTGAAAAACAAGTTCTTTTTTATTGACATTCTAAGGGGAGATGGCATATAGCACGTGTCGAAGAGGTATCCACAGTGAGAGCCAGCTGGCTGACCACCAGGCCTTAGAGGACAGTGTGACTTTGGCAAAATCACCACAGCCCAAGACTAGGCCCCTAGATCTGGTCATTCTAGGCATGAATGTTTCTCTCTATTCTCAAAGGGAACCCCTTTCTCTGTGACAGAAGAATATAGTATTGGGTTGTCAGAAAAGTCACGACACACTTTGCATAGAAAAACAGGAAAAATACATCGTGACTTTTCTGTTAAGGCTTGACTTTTACATGGCTGACCATGGCTCAAGTCCTGGACCTGGTGGCTTGCTTTCTTTTCTCTCTTTCTCTTTTTGGTGAGTACATAATTTAAAAACTAGTAATAGATAAAATTAAATCATTCTAAAAAAAATAAAAAGACTAAGGGATATACTAGGAGGTCAGTTTACTAATTGCTAGCAGAAGCTCTCCCTTTACTGGAGCCAGGGCACCCATTTCCTGGTAAGTACTCCCTGGAAGGCCAAACCCATCATCAGATGTCACCTGTTGAGCATATATTCAAAACCAAAAGCAGAGTCAGCGGGCCATGAGGAGGTCTGATCAAACATTGATCCAGTTGAAAATACTTCTCTAACATAAGACTTGTTTTTCCCAAATTCAATCTCTAGTCCTTGAACAGTGCTGGGCAGGTACTTTCAAAATTTCTATCTCTAAACACTCCACCTTTCATTGCTGCTCTATATTCTTTTGACATGCTAGTGTTACTGACCAAGCTAGCTCTGTTACTAAGCTAGCTGTTTTTAGATGAGCTGTTCTTAAGAGATTTTTGCTATAGGATGCGTGTGCTTGCCAGAGCCAGAGAAAGCACCCTGGGGGAATGGCCACACTGCAGTCCCTTCCCCATCTCCTTTTGGGATTTTGGGCATGCACACACACGGGTCCAAGACGTGGGAGTCTAGCCACGTTACCATTATGACATCTGCTGGTCCCATAGACGAGCTGTGCTTACAGACCTGTTAGAATGACATTAGACTATCCTTAGACGTGGGGAACACCTAGGGACGCATATAAAAGACATCAACTTCGGCTTCAGAAATGGACACATTTCTGTATAAAAGTTACAGTGTACATTTCCCTGAACTTATCCCCAAGGAATTGTGAACAAAAACCTAGTGATGGATGATGTAAAGATAGCGGACTTTTACTCTCAGCCTATGGCAAATGAGTATGAAGTAATACGAGCATTTCCCAAGCTCTCAGTATATGACAGTTACTGTCCTAATAACTCGAAATACTGTTCCTCATACTGCTGGGTCCTCGAAAAAGTCATGACCTATTTTTCCTATGCAAAACTGCGTCCTGACCTTTCTGCCCACCCAATAGCTGTATCAAGCAGTATTGTTCCCCACTGTGAAGATACAGAACTGAGGCCCAATTAGATATTGCACCTAAGGGCACAGCCAACTCCACACTGTTCTCTTAACCTCTGTGTGACACTTGCAGTTAAAAAATAAATAAATAAAATGTGGGCACTTATACATTGGTAATAGCATCAGTTCGTATAATTGTATTTAAAGAGTGTATGTCGGGGTGGGTGGTGTGGTGTTTGAGGCACTGGACTCCCCATGGCTGACTGTGGTTCAAGTCCCAGACCTGGCAGCTGGCTTTCTCACTTCTCTCTCTCTGTGTGTGTGTGTTGGTCAGACTAAAATAAATGAATAAGTATAAATGAATGACTAATTATTCTTTTTTAAAAAGAGTGTATGTCTACGTCCAGCAGGGGGTGTAGTGGTTATTGCTGGACTCCTACACGGCCGACTGTGGCTTGAATCCCAGACCAGGTGGCTTGAAAATAATGCTGGGCACGCGTACCTGCATGCCCAAGATGCCAGAAAGAGAATGGAGAAGGGACTGCAGTGTGGCCACCCCCCAGGAGGGGTGATTTCTCACTTTCCCTCTCACTGTCTTTGTCTCTCTCTGGCAAGTGCATACACCCTAAGACAAAAACCTCCAAATAAATATATACTAATAAGAGTATAGCGTACTGGACTTAGTTCCTTTCTCTCTGGCAGATAATTCTATCTATATTCACGAATCTGAAGACAACCAAAAGCTCGTGAATAGAATCATGAATGAAGAAAAGTTACTTCAATTTCTTCAGACAATTTTTTAGATTTATTTTGGAAGCCCCTAGACATAAACTATAGAACATAGTAGATAAGAATTCTTTCTTTTGGAGCAGTGTTTTTCAGTGAATAGAGTATTTGCTATTTACTGTTTACTCTGTACTACGTGACTGTATGCTAAGTCCTAGTTTTACCTTATGATAAATAAAACATATGTGGTCTATGTACTCCAACTTATCATCCAGTAGAGGAAGACAGGGATTATATCGGGAAACAATGTAGAGTTTAAAACCGTACAAAAGAGGAAAGAGCCGGCAGGTTGTGTGGTGGTAAGGTGCGGGACTGCCATGCGGCTGACCACAGTTCGAGTCCCAGGCTTGGCAGCTTGCTTTCTCATTTTCCCTCCCTCTCTTTGGTCAAATTAAAAAAAATAATAATAACAAATAATAAAGTATAATAAAACAATTCTTTTTAAAAATCTGTACAAAAGAAACAGGGTATACAGTAATAAAGACAACTTACATATGGACATCAATAGGTTTTTATTTTTCGGTACCTCATTATGCATAAAAAATGAGTCCACTTTTCTCTTAACCCTATTCATTCAACTTAATTCTCTCAAAACTCAAATTAAGGGAGATTTGCTGGAAATCTGCACTAACATTTATAGCTCTAATGTAGTTAACAAATCATACTTTTTAAATTCACTTTATGAAGGAAGTCAAAATAATGCATGGTAATGATGGTGTCAGTGGCGCCACCTGCACACCACAATTAGGGATGCTAGATCAATAAAGGTCCTTGGTCACGGGCTATCCCATCTTAAAATACAGAACCTATGGGACCAGCAGATGGTGTAGTGGTGATGTCGCCGGACTCCCACTTAGTCGACCGTGATTTGAGTCCCAGAACCAGCGGCTTTAAACTAACTGGGCGCGTATGCATGCACGTCCAAGATCCCAAGAGGAGAATGGAGGAGAAGGGACTGCAATGTGGCCATTCGTCCGGGGAGTGATTTCTCACTTTCTGTCTCTCTGTCTCCCTCTGTCCCTCTGGTGAGCACATGCTCCCTATAGCAAAAATCTCTCTTAAAAAAAAAAAAAATACATAGTTCATTATTTTGGTATGACCCATTGGTGACGTCTCAGTGCCTTCGAACTGGAGGTGATTAAAGAACTCCCCCACCATACTTCTTTGTCAAACCGTACCCGCAGTTTCATAGAAAAGTCCTGTTCAAGCGTCCGTAATAATACCCGCCTAGCCAACTCTTCCCTGCCCTTCCTTCCCTGTCTTTTCTTCACTCCCTCCTACAGGAGCCTCAGCTCTGCCTGACGGGGCAGGTCCTGGGCTAGTCCCAAGGCATGGAACCACTCTACTCTGCCTGACAGTCATGGCTTTTTTTTTTCTGGAGAGGTTTTTCCTATAAGGCATGTGTGCTCGCCAGAAAGACAGAGACAGAGAGACAGAAAGTGAGAAATCACCCCCCAGGGGGGATGGTCACGCCGCAATCCCTTCTCCTCCATACTCCTCTCAGGATCTTGGGCACGCACGCACATGCACCCGGCGTGAGTTTAAGCCACTGGGTCTGGGACTCGAACCACGGTTGACTACATGGGAGTTCAGGGACATAGCCATTATGCCAATTGCTGATCCCTTGAGAGTCATGACTTCTATCCATAGAAGATGATGGGGCTGGCACCAGTAGGTGGCATGGTGGTTGGAGGTGCTGGATTCCCACATGGCTGACTACAGTTTGAGTCCTAGACCTGGTGGCTTGCTTTTCCACTTTCCTTCTCTCTCTTGACAAATTAAAAAATAATAATAACAAATGGAATTAAAATAAATACTTCTAAAAATAAAAAAGAGAAGATGACGACAATGGGGCATGATATGGCTTAGAGCGAGCCCTTCCCAAAGTATGTTCTCTTCTGCTGCATGCTCCTAGGTGGAAGGGTCTGGTGAGTTTGAAAAACTGAGCACCCCATCTTCCTCTTGAAGTTTCACAATATATATCTAAAGCAGCATAGAGTAAAGGTTCTGTGAAGTCTTTTTAAAAAAAAACATTTATTTATTTATTTATTTAAATTTGACCAGAGAGGGACAGAGTGAGAAAGAGAGAGAGGGAAAGTGAGAAAGCAAGCTGCCAGGTCCGGAACTCAAACCACGGTCGGCTATGTGGGAGTCCAGTGTCCTTAACCACCATGCCACCTGCTGGCCCCAGTTCTGAGAAGTCTTAAAATAAGAAAACCTGTTTAATCCAGTGGTTCCCAAATTTATTTGGCAACAGCATCATTTCTCTTTTTTCCTTTTTTTTTTTTTTCCATAGTATGGTATGTGCTTTCGCCCAAGAGAGATAGCAAGAGGAAAAGTGAAAAATCACACCCCCTCCCACCCAGAAGGGGATGGCCACACTGCAGTCCCTTCTCCTCTATTCTCCTCTTGGGACTTTGGGCACACAGGTACATGAGCCCGGCATGATTTCCAGCCGTTAGGTCCAAGCTTGAACCACAACTGACCATGAGGGAGTCCAGTGCCTTAACACCACACCACGCCACCTGCTGTCCCCTCCTTTTTTCAGATGTTTGCCATAGGGTAGGCAGGGAAAGTGAGAAATCCCCCCGCAGGCGGGGAGCCACACCACAATCCCTTCTTCCGTTTCCTCTCGGGATTTTAGGTGCACGTGCATATGCATATGCAATTGGCATGTTTTTCTTTGATTTTTTTTTTTCCCCCAAGCCACCAGGTTTGGGACTCAAACCACAGAGTTGGCCTTGGAGGGTCCAACCCACAGAATCATTTTATAATGAAAAAGATTTAATTGTGGCAAAAATATCAGGTCATCAGAAAAGTCATGACATATTTTTTTTGTATAGAATAACATTAAAAAATGTCAAGACTTTCCCGACAACCCAATATATAACTAAAAATGTAATTGTAGTTATTATCTTTTTCAGAGAGGGAGATTTGCTATAGGGCACATGGGCTTGCCAGCGAGACAGCGAGAAAGTGAGAAATCACCCTCTAGGGGGAATGGCCTTGTTGCACTCCTTTCTCCATTTACCTCTTGGGATTTGGGGCATGCAAACATGTGCACCCGGCATGAGTTTCAAGCCTCCA